TGTTGGTGCCGGACGCCCCCTGCCACTCCTGCCCCTTTCCCACGCTCGCAGCATCGCGGGCGGCCCGTGTGGGGCATGTCAACCCTGCGAGCACCCACCCCGGGGCCCGGAGGAGGGCAGGAAAGACGGTTTGTCTTTCTGGGTCAGTCAGGAATGGTTCCCCTGCCCTCCACCAGCATCGCCCCTTGGCACAGCCAAGGCCGCAGCTGTTCTCAGCTGCAGACGAGTTCAGCAGCAGCTGGAGAAGAGCGTGTTTTGGGGGCTGAGGGGTAGCTGAGTCCCAGGTAGAGCTGCTGATGTTGGATCCCATTGTGGAACTTGTTGACCTCTGAGGGATGTTAACTCACAACTACATGCTCCTGCAGGCGCCCAGTTCTACAGCTTTAAATTTCTTCCCTTCCCTGTTTAAACTAGAACGTCAAAAGTGACATCCCAACTGTTTGGTTTTTTAAATGAAGGACTGTGTCTAAATAAATGCATAAGAACCAGTTGGTTTTGAGCAGCATTTTAATAATAAATGCATATTCATTAGAAGTATAAGAAAGTAACAGTGGTGTAAAAGGGGATTGTCTCTTACACGTACTGGAGTCTTAACATTTTTTTTACATTACGTTGAGGTACAAGTAGTCTACATAACGTGTTCTTCAAATACTAGAAAAATCCACAAAGACAGATGGCACCAGTGAAAATAAGAGACCGGCAGTGGTATGATGTTGGAATTTTTAAGAACAACAGCGCTGTGGTGAGCCAGTTCTACTTGCTGCCAGAGGAAACACTGAAAATCTCTAACAAGGTAGCTGCTAATTCTTCTCTGGCGTAACTTGCACATAGATATTTTGGGAATCGGTTGATCATAAGGTTGATAACAAATCGTGGGATTTTCTGTGGCTGCAGCAGGATCTGGTGCTTGGAGGAGTTTTGTATTGTGTGATAGTGTAGTTTGCTCACTTTTTTTTTTTTTTTTTTTTTTTTTTTTTTACTGTTTCCTAAACAAGATGCTTTTTTTTCTGTTGCTTTATATGGTATTATGGAACTTCTTATTTTGCTATTGCTAATTTATGTATTTCTATTTCTAGTCTTTGGAAAGAATTTTAAACTTGGTGACCTTTTAAACCAGTAAAAATCTTAAACACTAGAAAATCCACAACAGCATTGAAATGTCTCAATCAAAGTTTCTTCTCTGTATCCAGAATCTTTGCCTACAAAGTGTTAAAGATACTAACAGAACATAGGCTAGGCTGTTAAAAAAGACTGTAGTGGGTTTTGCCTTAAATTTCTCTGACTTAATGTTGTTGCATGTTTAAGTTTATATATTAAATTGCTACACATGGGAAACTTGCAAAAATGTTGCAGGTTTAATGGTGAAAGTCTAAACTAGAAACAAAACCCGTGGGTATATGTTTTCTTAACGCAGAAACAAAAGAACAGACACTTTCAGAGTAAGCACTTCACTATAAATATTGCACATCTTAGTCTCAAAGAGCGTAGTACAATTTACAGTGTTTACTTGGGTTGTGATTTCTTATGCATTATTCAGAAGGAAAGTAGTTCCATTAGAAGTTTCAAGGATGCATCAATGCATATTTTAAATGTGGAAGTAAACAGGAGCTCGTGATGTTTCAGAAACCTGTTTGTTACCAACTTACAGTACTTTTCTTTAAAACCATTTTGATTACCGACGCATCGAATTGTAACTCCTAACTATAGGAATAACTGGTTTTGAAATAAAAAGGGTTTTTTTAGGACAGAAGAGTATGCTAATTAAATCATAAGCTACACAGTTGGAAATACTACTTCGCTTTTACTTCCCTGAGTAAAAATAACCAAGAGCTGCAGTTTAATTTAAATGTCTGAAGAATCAGGGTGTTTTTTCTTGAAGATGTAGTCTCATATTACATGTCAAATCAGCTGGTTTGCTGTGAGCTAGTGCCTCAGTCAGAACCTCTTTGTAAGTTCCCATTTAAGTACAAAAAATATTAGATTTTCAGTTTCAATTAAAGTTATTAATGTCAGTTTATCACTACCCACTTTATATATTTTTAGGCTAATTGTGTTTAGAATAATTTAAAAATTAACAAAAATGTTGCTTTATTTTTAGGCGGAAAGTGCAGATGTACCAGACTACAGATTACTTAAGAAACAGGATCTTTTTCCAGGCACAGTGTACAGGTTCAGAGTTGCTGCAATTAATGGCTGTGGTGTTGGGCCTTTCAGTAAAATCAGTGAATTCAAGACTTGCATTCCAGGTTTTCCTGGAGCTCCTTCAACAGTCAAAATCACCAAGGTGAGAAATACAAGTAGCACTGATGTATAAAATTCTGATCACATGATTAATCTCAGAACTCTTGGGTTTAGTTGGTTTGTTGTTGTTGGTTTGGGGTTTTTTTTTCCCAAGTTAAAATTGTCACATGTTTACTCGAGGTAATATTGTTTAAGAAATTTGCTGTGAAGGATTATTTTAACACTTAATGATCATGTTGCCACATACACAGCTTACTTGACCATCTTATAGTTTCTCCATGATTTTCTCTTCTTTCTAATGTCATAAGACATATCCTTACCTCCAAAGAGTGATGAAATTAGGTCAGAATTTTCAGATGATTTTTAGAGGGATTTTTGTATTTTTGTATATATATATATATATGTGTATTTGAGTTTCTCATCGTTACCTGCATACTACCACATTTTCTCCTTTTTTCTTCAGAGCGTGGACTGTATTCACCTTTCTTGGGAGCCTCCTGCTTCACCTTCTGGAAATATTTTAGAATATTCTGCCTACTTAGCAATCCGTTCCACACAGCTACAGGAAAATCCAAATCAGCTTGTATTTATGAGAATCTACTGTGGTCTGAAAACATCATGTGTAGTGACTGCTGCCCAGCTTTCAAATGCTCACGTTGATTACACTTCCCGACCTGCTATAGTGTTTAGAATTTCTGCGAAGAACGAGAGAGGATACGGACCAGCCACGCAAGTTCGATGGCTTCAAGGTAAAATCAGATGCAGCATTTAAATGGGCGTAACATTTTTTTTTAAAAAAATGTATTGCTTCACAAGCAAGTACTGAAATGTTAGTGATTGAGTCTTACCCAGTCCCTCAAATGATAAAAGCCCAGGAAGCTCCTGATTTCCCTGGGCTTTACTTCAGCTAAAAAGTTTTTCATTCTGATAAGGAGTAATCCAGTTACATGCATGGGTGTAATCAGGTGGGTTTTTTTCAATCTTTTCTCCCTCTTTACTAGAGAAAAATTCGTAAGGTGAAGTAAGGTGTATTTTTGTGACACAAATACACTTTAAAGTCCGTATTACAGGCAGAAGAGGTTTTGTCACCTTGTCCCTTTGCTTGAATTTGTACCTGTTCATGATGAGTTGGGGATGGAAATGGATCCACTGAAAACAAAGATTATTTTTTTAGCCTGATCACTTCTGCCTCCCCTTTTCAGTAAGCCAACCCAGAGGCTCAAATCACCAAGTTTTGCTGGCTTCTCCTCTCCTCCCACTCCTTCTCCTTTCTGACTGAGCTTTCTGCTGGTTGGGAGCTGGCTTTCCTTGGCAGGAGGCTCTGTGAGGTGCTGGAGGGGAGGCCAGGAGGGGCAGAGCGAGGGGAGCAGGGAACTGTTGTCTGGCTGTAGCCGACCTCTGGGCTGGAGGGCTGCGGCCCGCAGGATGTGGTTGCCAGCAAACTGTTGAATACCCCCCTGCTGCGTTTTGAGGGGGTGGGTTTTTTTTCTAAGGTGGAGAGCAACAAAGAAGAAATTGTCATCTGTAATATTCAGCATTTCAATGCTGTTTTAACCCTTTAATTGGTGAGCGGGTTGACAGTGATCTGTATCCCGAAACTCTGAAACAGCAGCTGCTGAAAAGTGTTTGACCGCGGGCAGGATGTGAAATTCTGTGGCGTTTAACAATGTCTCTTTCTCTTCGCAGATCTGAAAACGTCAAGCTCGAAGTAGGAACATGATAAATCTCAAGTTTTGAATGTAGTGTTTAGTGTAACTCTTGTACTATTTGTAAATGCTACAAATATTTTATTTTTGCATTGTTTTTATCTTAAAAATATATAACCTTTTTTACGTTTGAAACGTCAGCGTTACACAGCCTTGCTCAGGTATGAGTACCATATCGAAACAATATTGAAGGTGGTGGGGTGGAGGACCACACTCTATCCAGTAGATCTTTTTGGTAGTGACAGTTAAAGTGTAAAAAAATACACAGTTTCAAATTAGAAGTAAATAAACAAAAAATAATTGACACATATTTGAGGTAGAGTCCCCATGATTGCTACAGATCTTGCCTAGGTAATTCAAAAGATTTGATACGCGAAGAAATTCTGTTTGATTTCCGTTCTTTGTACAAATTCTTCATTGTTGTACCTGAGTCCAAGGCAAAAATTTCCAGTTATTATATAGTAACTTAAAATGTATAAATATTTTAATATATACCTTTTTGTAAAGAAATGATTTTTCTACAATTTGTAACAAATATCTTAATCTTGAAAGGTATCCCCTGAAGATTTAAAAGGAAAAAGACAAACTTATTCATTGCTCTTATTACAAAAAAATGGAAATTCATTGTAAATGCACTACTAATATTTAGAGTTATCCTTTTGTAGTTATACAAATCTTAAAACTGTAAATACCAATGTTTACAAGAGACCTTTCTGGTCTTGTGTGAAAACTTCCATGAGATTCATTCTCTTTTTTTTAAATCCATATGCTTTGCTTTTAGCATATGCTTGCTTTTTGCACTAATAATAACTTACCTCATTCCTGTGTTTGTAATCACTTGTGTTGCTTCCATAATATTTCTGTAAAACTTCAATCTGAAAATTTTAACCAAAGTTTAGAATACACGGTAAGCAATTTTGCACATATTATATGGCAACTTTCAAGATATTTATTCCAGTTAATCTTCTTAAGTGCTTGTTTGCTTTACCAGTATATTCTACCAATCGAGTTCCATATCTCCCTTTTTACTATGCATCATTTTACATTAACTAGCTAGCTGATAATTCAACAAGCATTACTTCTAGGAATAGGTTGATCCGTTCCTATGCTAAAAGAAAAAAAATTTGTTCACGGTAGTGAAATAAAGGTAAACATTTTAAATGCTATTTATGTATCTATATATAAACCTATGTTTACCAAAGCGTAGAGGAAAATGGCTGAGTTGGACAAGGTCACTAGGTGAATAGATTGAGGCACCTAAATAAGATTTATTTTAAAATAAAGTCTAAATTATTTACTGTGCAATGAAGTTTATACTTTGCACTTTAATTTTGCCCCAAATGCCAAAAGACTGTACATCAAGGTAGAATTTCTCACCTCTGCCAGTTAAATTTGTCTTAAGAGCGTTTGTAAATATATAAACTAAAAGAAATTACGTGCCTGGTTCCGTGGGAGAAGTATCACTAAAATATTAGAGATTTAACAGCTCGAGTATCCCAGAGCAGATTCGATAGCCAAGTTTTAGCTACCCTGAAAATCAGGGGTGTAATGGAAGCGCTGACGCAGCCTTAATTATCACAACACATCACATGCTATAATAGCATAGAAGAAGTGCTGGGGACCATAAATCGCCGTGATAGTGCTGATTGTGGCGCAGGACTCCCTTTACTCCCGAGAAAGATCTTGTGTTTATGATGAGGACGGCGATCCCCGATTCACTCTAAACAGTGTTTATAGTATGAATGTATAGGACTTTTCCTGACATTGACTGGCTTTAAAATACTTGTGTTTTAATGGTCCGTTTCATCAAGTACGATCTCACTACCAATGCTGTCTGATAACTAAAATACCATGCACATGAACTGTTTAACTAGAAGAATAGAACTTGGGTTTTTTCTTATTAGTACTGTGAAAGAAGCCTTTAGAGAAAACACTTGTGGCTTTGATTTTGTTGGTTGATAGCCGTGATTGTAGAGTTGTTATTTAAGAATAAAATCTGTTGGGTATGTCTGGGTGGAGTTTTTTTGCACTCAGTTTCACCTGCTTTGCACAATTTCTTTTTCGGTGGGTATGTCACAACTACCAAAGGGTAAAACTGTGGCGTTTTCAATGAAAGTATAATTTCCTTGTAAGTGTGCTTTCTTCAGCTGACTCGACATAAGATGTCACTTTCTCTTCTTTGTCCAAGTTGGGTGACGTTGAATAGTGATCATACGCAAACCTTCAGTTCCTCACAGTTTTGCTTTAAAATGAAATCGTGGTACACACTGTAAAATACACTTTGTGATCTGTTTTTAGAACTGTATTTATAATGTCTAAACCCCACCTGTTTGCCTCTCAGCTCGGTATCAGACAAATATTGATTGTTCGATTTTTGAATTTGTTTCAAAGACTGTTTGAGACGCGGCTCTCTGAGAACCTGCATTACCCATTTATTTCATGTGTTGCTAAAGGACACGTAACAGAAGCTGAAATCTATGAGATGACAGTCTCCCTGTTGTAGAAATGTCTAGGTTTACTAAGCTCCTTAGGGCAGTTGTGACTGTGTGAGTAGAGGACAGTCATGCCAGTGAGCGCTGGCAGACGCTGCTGCAGCTTCACCTTGAGAATGTTCTTGTGAAAGTGGAAATGAAGTGAACAATAACTTACACTTTGTGTTTTCTAAGTAATTATAGCAATATCTTTTGAATGTAGTTGGGGAGTAGAGCACATGACCATGCCATAAACTCTGAAGATATAATAAGTATTACTGTTGTTATCTGATATTTCAGGATAGCGAATTTGACGTGAACTTAGTCTTACAGCCTGTTACTAAATGACCTCTACAAGGAAACTGACATTTTGTACAATTCAAGTTACTCAGTCTTATTTTGAAGCATTGTTTGTTCTTTGTAATAAAGTGGTTGTCCTATCAAACGCATTGTAAACACTGAAGTGTGTGTCTTTTTTTCAAAGGTGTACGTGTACAAACTTCAAATTTCGGCCCCTCTTTAGAAAAAGGGATGATACAGAGAAGAGAGTGAGTATATTTGCCTTGGTGGGGGGAGGATGTTTAATGATACACATTATATTACTCAGTATTACTCTTTCGTAACAACTATTTCATAGAATCCTAGAGCGGGAGAAAAGGTATTTTCTGGGGAAATAAATAATAAATATGTTTGTAGAAGCAGGGGAGCAGAGAGGAGTGAGTGAATCAAAAGGTCTATAGGATTGTTTCTGGGTCTCTTTAAGAGACTTCACATAAGCAACTGTTAAAAGCTGTCTGCTCCACATGGATTCCTTCCTTATGTTCCTAGCTATTGTAACAGAATAGCTATTGCCTTATTCTCAGTTTTTTGTGATCTTTGCGTTAGTGGAAAACAAATGGCAAAAGCCTAAACAATTGCTGAAGAAATCCCTCATGGGTTTTTTTTTCTGTTAATAAGACTCTTTTCTCATTAAGGCAAGCTTGAACTTGCTGTATGAATTTATCTTAAAACCAACTCAGACTTATTATTTTTTTGTAGTGTTAGCTATTTCCTGGTGTGTCTAAAGGCCAGGGCTTTTATTCTGTGGCTTCAGGTTCTGACACTGAAACATCTCAACGTTCCAGGGCAACGGTGGAGCACTGACTGCCGCCAGCATTGTGTCTGCAGTTAAATGTGTTCCTCTTCCTGTCAGGAGTTGTGAAATCTTCCTTTTGGTGCATTTTCCATTGATACAAAGCTAAGGAGAGACCCATTTTATTAGAGTTTCCAGAAGTTAATTGAAAGTAGCAAGAAGGAGAGTTTAGAATGGATCCTCTTGCTCTGTGAATGGGTCTTTAGGATACTGCACCTCCGATACTTCCTCCAGAGAGAGGGTGTTGCAGTGGGGCCGGTGGGGGTAGACTGGGCACACAGTGAGATCCCAGTGGGAATGAATGGTGTTGGGTCTCAGCCAGAGATTTTCTTTCTTGCACTTGCAGACCCCTTGCTGTTGCCTTAAACAGTCCTGGTTTGGGAAACACCCCTGTGGTAAAAATTGCACACCCAGCCCAGCTCTGTTGCCTAGCCCTGAGGACAAGCAGTATGGTGGGGTCTGTGTCACTTAATCCTCCCCTCTTCCCCAATCCAAGTGCTTGAACCCATGTGGAAACAGTCTCTGGCAAAGGCTGGCCCTGGGCTGGGGCGCCTGGGACTGCGGAGGGGCTTGGTGTGAGGGTCACAGCCCCACCCCATACTTTGCTTGCCTGCACGTGTCCTCTGGTCAAGTGCAAAAGCTGTGCTTTGGCCGTGCTGCTGCTGACAGCAACGGGGCTTGTGGTGCAGAGGAAAAAGGAAGGGGCAATGGGAGACTCCTGCCTGGAAGGCAGAGGGATGCCGATGCATTTTAGGCTGCCAGTTTAATTTCCGATTATATTGGTTTGCTCCGCTGGGCTCATCTGGTCAGCAAAAGGCGGGAGCAAAAGAAGGGAGCAGCTGGGCTGCCAAGGTGCGAGAAGGGGAAGGAAGAGGAGGGCTGGAATGGGATGAAGGCCCTCGAGATCTCTCTGAGGTAGTGGGCCCGTTGCTCTAAGTCTGTCCATGTGTGCCTAACATACAGGTTGTGAAAATCTGGCATCTAGGAAGGTAGTAAGTGGCTCCTTGGTCATTTCCTGAAGTCCTTCAAAAGCCTGAAGTACTTCAGGTCAGTTGTTGAACTCACAGCTTGCCAATAACAAAAAGAACCTCACACCAAAACCAAAAAACAAAACCAGATCGGGGCTGGGTTTGGTTTGCTGTCATTGTTTCATTGAGGGGGTTCTTGCCTCTTGCAAGCATCTGCTTTTAATATATGATGTAATTGCTAAGTTGGTACAGCAGCTCCTTAAAATGAAAATGAAGGCTTGGATACGGTATCTTCAAAGAGAAAAAGAGATGAAGCATTTCAGTGTGTGCCAAATGGTAAGCAGTGTTCAGAGATTTATTTCTTCATCTGATAAAATATTGTTATCCACACATGGAAGTTATCAATATACAGTTATTTCCAAGTGATTTTTAAAAGAAGCACCCTGGGTATGTGTCAGCTTAGGAGGCTCAAAACCACCAGTTCCTGGGGTTTTTTTGCGTTCTCTCATTTAAATTGTTCTTGCCAGGGACTTTGCCTTTTAGGATAACTACCTCTCTTATACGCAGTGCTGATAATTCTCCTTTAACAAAAAGTTATTTGGTACAAAACTTTGAGCAGCATTAAGTAGTACCCCTTTTTTTTTTTTTTCTTTTTAGTAGCAGCTTTGTAATTATTTCTTCACTGCACTTTGCCCAAGTAGGGAGGAGACTTCTATGTGTTGATTTTATATGCTGTCTGCTCTGGAAGGAAAATGTTTGGAGCCTAGGAGCAACTCTCTGAAACAACTCTCTTGGGAAATAAAAATAAAAAATCCTCGAAATTTCAATCTAACAGATCGAGGTGTCACCTACTTACGTTACAGCATAAACGTTTTAGCATAAATGCACATTATTTATGTAGTTACTGTTCAAAGATTAGTTACTGAGATGAG